ATTCTTAAAGGTGATGCGCGAGGCAATTACGAGGCTTTCTTACTCATGCGTGTCTCCTTCGCATAACATTGTCTAGTTGATCCCCGTGAGATTTACCCCATGACAGATAATTTTTTCCTCCTCCTACCATTACACACTAAAAGAAGCACTAAGTGGAAAATATATCCATATGCAATGTGCTAAAGGCATTTCTCAATTACATATATGTTATCTCAGAATCAATGTATAGAGTTTTTTAGACATTTGATAATACTGATTAGAAGAAAAGGCAAAATCATTGGTGATAACTTAAAAAATTGTCAATGTTTGGGTAATCCTCGTATATAAACTTGTTAACATGTCCCACTATGCTAAAGCAGTGTATTTGTCTTTGCATAACCCTCATGACACTGTGATGCAGCACACAATACATTTATTCATGTACAGGTGCACAGCGAGTTCTTTGTAGCCTCGGGTTCCACATCCTTGGATTCAACCAAGGAGGGAAAATACATTTTAAAAATTGTGTGTGTGCTAAGTAGTACAGATTTTTTCTTGCCATTACTTCTTCAACAATACAGTATAACAACTATGTATATGGCATTTACATTGTGTTAGGTATTATAAATATTAGATATGATTTAAGGTATACTTAAGATATGCATAGGTTATATGCAGATAGTATGTTATTATATAAGGAACTAGCATCTGCAGATCTTGGGATTTGCAGGAGTCCTAATTCTATTTGGTTCATATAACCCACTATCATATAAATCCAGAGAAAAAAGGACGGAAAAAAATGTGCCATACAACCACTGAGGTGGATGAGGTTATCTTCAGGATAATGAATATTATCAGTTTTTTTAAAGAAACATTTAAAAATAACTCATAACAACCCTAAATGTGCATACATCTCACAACAATGCTTCAAAATACAAGAAGCTCAAACTGATAGAACTGAGACAAACAGAAAGATCCACAAATATAATCCAAGATTTCAGCAGTCCTCTCTCATAACTGACAGAATAGGAAGAAAAATCATTATGGACAGAAAAGATTTGAAAAATCTAACAAGCAACTTGATCTAGTTGATTTTTATAAAACTATACTCAATAACAGAAGAATAGACAGGTTTTTGAAGTACACATGAAACACTAAGATGGCCCACATCTGAATCATAAAATAAATCTCTATAACATTTAAAGGACTGGAATAATATATTTTCTGAGACCAAAACAGAATTACATTAGAATCAATTAGGGATAGGGATGGAGGTCAGTGGTACAGCACTTGCTTAGCACACACAAGGCCATGAGTTTGGTTCCCAGCACTGCTAAAAACATGAGAGTAAACTAGCAATAATATCCTCAAACTCAAATATTTGAAAATTAGAGAGAAAGCTATAAATATCCATGAGAAAAACAAAATAGAGAAATTAAAAAATATTAAAGTAAAATAAAAATACAACCTGCAACAGGATGAAAATGGCCTGATAAAAGATACCTATGCTCTAATCCAAGAAATCTGTGGATATTATCTTATATGTCAGCAGAAAGGCTCTCTATATCATTAAACTAAGGACGTTGAGAAGGGAGGATTATCCTGGGTCACCAGGCATGGGCCCTATATACAATCCTATGTATCCCAATGCTAGAGGCACAGGGAGATTTGGTCATAATGGAAACTATAGAACACAGACAGAGTTTAGAAGATGCTGGCCTAGAAGATTGGTGTGATGTGACCACAAGCTAAGGAATGCTGGCAGCCACCAGACATTGGCCCTGGCCGGCAATAGATTCTTCCCCACAGTCTCTGAATGGTGTAATGTTTTGCTTTCTCAGACTTCTCACCTTAGAACTATGAGAGAATAAGTTTCTGTTGTTTTAAGCCACCAAGTTTGTGGTGGTTTGTTACAGAAACCAATTCATTGCTCATGTTCATAATGAACTAAAAATCTATAAAGGTTCTTAATAGTAATCTAAACAGGGAGGGGCTAGTACATGAAGAAATACAGTTCTATACTTTTCAAATCTATTAGGATTGAATATTTTATGGTTTCCTTGGTAATCTTATTTTCACTTTACTACTTGTAAATAAAACCAGAAATGTTTCTATAGTGTCACTTCCCTAGAGGGAGATTTGTGATTAACCCTGCATGACAATGCACAAAAGCTGAAATCTCCACTCACTTTTCTTTGCTTTTGTGTTTTTCTGTAAAAGGAAAAGGCTTTGCCTACTTCTATGGGAGGGTTATCTGGTACACTTTTATTTATTACCTCTTAGGTCTTGGAACATGGTTATATGAAATTTAAATGATTGTGTAACAATTGCATGTTTTTTAAGACAATTTTTCCCTGCCAGCTAGCTCACAGAAATCTTGTAATTTATCTGCAGCTAATTTTCACATCATTGATAGAGGCTAGTGATGAAAGCCCTAACTGATATTTCATGATGTTCTCTATATTTGTTGGAGCGTTCTGTTCCCTTATCTCTATTTCTGTGACTTGAATGGCAGCAGGAACTGTCTCTCCTATACAAAGCTGAAACAAATGTATTGCTACTTCTTAAATATTAATCAGACCAGGTAATAACTTTGCCATTCAGACCTGGGGGACAGTAAATCCTCTGTCATCACATGTTCTGGAGGCTCCTGCCATGCAGTCTTTGTGGCTGTGTGGGGACACCAATGGGCTTCAAAGATTTCAGGACAAAGCCAGGTATGGTGGCACATGCTTATAATCCTAGCATTCTAGGAAGCTGAGGCAGGAGGATCACAAGTTTGAACCCAGCCTGGGCAACTTAGTGAGGTACTATCTCAAGATAAAGAATGAAAAAGGACTGGTATGTAGCTGTATGAAGGCTCTAGTTTTAATTCTCAGTACCACCACCACCAAAAAAATCAGGACAAGTAGGTAGGTTAGGAGGCTCCCACGTCTTATATACTAAGACCTTACCTGCCACTTGGCTCCTTCTGCCAAAGGATCAGCATGGTGTACCAGTGCTGTTCTGCACATGAGAAGTGACACACAAGGTGCCAGGAAATCATAGCATTGAATTTGCTTTTCTAGAGGGGGTGACTTCCTGAGTACCATTAAACTGGATCCTTAAAATGGTGGCTCACAGCGGGGTGTAGTGGTGCATGCCTGTAATCCCAGCACTCAGAAGGCTGAGACAGGAGGATTGCTGTGAGTTTGAGACCAGCCTGGGCTACACAGTGAGTTCCAGGGCAGTCTGAACTACATAGCGAGAAACTGTCTCAAAAAACAAAAAACAATAAAAACCCCCAAACAAACAAACAAACAAAAAAACAGTGGCTCACAGACTTTAATGTGCAAGAGAAACACCAGCAAGCATGAAAAAAATGAAAGTTCCCTGGCTTCAGCCTTAGAGACTCAATCCAGTAGATCTGGATGGGGCCGCAGAAACAAGCTCTTTAGGATTTTCTAGTATTGATTATTTAAAATCACTGGGCTACAGTTTCCTCCGTTGGAGTAAATGAACAAAAGGCAGCTTTGTGTACCAAGACTCTATGAAGTAATGCTCTGTTCTTCAGTAGTTACACTGATTCCTTCAGTTCTCTTTTGCTGTCTGTTCACTCATACCCAAAACTGCAAATACACATAATATTCCAAAGGCATGGGAAAAAGTCTCCATTTGTCCTTAGCAGTCAGTCACCCAAGCTTTTCATCCAAGTAAATGGTGGCATCTACTATTGCAGTTTTCTGTGTATTCTAAAGATACCTTATATTGGCAAATATAAGTACAGACATATATATATATTTTTTTTTTCTTCCTGTAATATAACACACAATGTTATGTACCTAGCTTTAAAAAAATCTTTCACCTCATATACTTTGGAAACCTTTTTGTATGACTACATAGAGATCATTCTCATTTTTTTGTAAAAAAATGCTGCATAGCGTTCCATGGTATTGATGGTGTAATTATTTGTACAGTTTTTGTGCGTGTGTGTGTGTGTATGTGTGTGCATGTGTGATTGGGGATTGAACCGAGGGCCTTTGCACCGAGCCACATCTCCACACCTTAAAAAAAAAAATAAAAAAAAAAAATCTCGAAACAGCATCTGGATAAGTTGTTCAGGTTGGGCTGCAGATTGTTGGTATTACAGGTGTGAGCCACCTAGCCTGGCATCAGTCTTTCCATAGGTGGTGTTTTCTCCCCATCTTTGCTAGTACAAATAATGTACAATGGCTGACCTTGTGCTCCTTTGACACCTATGTCAGTGCATCTGTAGGATACATTGCAGAAGGGCAATCATTGGTCCATGTCTATACGTACATTCCTTATTCTGAGAGATATTGCCAAATTGTCCTCCATGGAGGTTTGAGTTTTGCTTATCTGATAGGTGGAAATACTACCTTGTATATTTGATTCACAGGTGACTTTGAGCGTCTTTTCAAGGGCCGGGGTAGCACTATATTAAAACCTTGAATTATCTCTTCTCCTTTGATACGGTCTTTTCTTATTAATTTATAAAAGACAGAATCTGTGTTTTGGCAACAGACGGACACACACACACACACACACACACACACACACACACAGTGCACCCCTGTACAAATTTACTAGCCCTGGCATGAAATCTTGTCTTTGCTACTTGCTGTGTGCTCTTAGGTGAGTTACTTAAACTCTTCGGGCCATAATATACAAAGGTCTGGCGTATCAACGTGGTCTTCAACCAGGGAGTCGAGTGGGACACACGTATTAAAGACGCGTAAGACAACAGTTTTCCGCTGGGAAATCCTGCCTAGGCGCCAATGCCGAGCACAGCGACCCACCGGCGGGGAGAGGCGCCGGCCTGAAGGTGGGCCTCGCTCCTTAAAGCTCAGGTCTCTCCTCTGGGAGAGCCACACCGAGACAAAAAAATCAAGCAAAGAGGAGCTACTTCTTGATGAAGTCAGTCCCCGGGCCGTCCCTCCAGCAGGCGGAGCCTAGTACTGTAGCCCTGGTGGCCAGAGGCGGGACCCGGGGACCTCGAGCGCTAGGAGGGGAGGGGACAAGAAGGGAGGGAGGGCCCGACGACACGTGACCCGACCAGCTGTTGTCGGGGGCGGCGGGGACCCAGAGCGCTGCGAATCTGGAGGGCGGGGCGCCGCCTTCGCCACTGCAGCCACAGCCCCCGATGTCGCCGCAGTAATCTGGCCGTGGCAGCTCCTGCATCTCGGTGGTCGCTGCCTTCGCACCTAAGGCCGATCCCGGAGTCCATCGCCCAGCAGGTGAGCTGCGACCCTGAGTGCAGGGCGTCCGCAGCGCCCCTTCCCTGGGCGGGTTTCCCCTCGGTCCGCCATCTCCGTCCCTCAGAGCCCACGGTGCTGGCTTAGGCGAGCTGGGGATCTGGGCAATCAGAGGAGAGATGGTCTCGGCTGGGGACAGGGAGACTCGGGATCGGAGGCTGCGGGGGCGCAGGAAAGGGACACCCCACCGCGGGGCTCAGGAGCCTGCCGTCCCGCACTCCCACTTATCCTCCCACTCCTTTAACTCCAAGAACCCCCCTCCCCGCTCTCAGTTGCTTTTCCCGTGTATTTTTCCGGCCCGCCAAGTTGCCGCCCCCCCCCCCCGCTGTATGCCCGCGGGGCAGTCACACCTGCGCTCTGGCCGAGCGAGCCCGGCTCCTTCGCCGAGGTACCTGCGGAGCTGCGAGTTCGCGGCGAACATGGCCGACTGCAGGCTGCGGCCCCGGGCTGGGCTCTGCCCTGGCCCGCGACCACCGCACGTGTCCCGGGGCCTGCGATCTCCTCAGGCCAAAGCATGCTGCTGTTGTCGTTTGTGCAGGCAGTGCTGAGGACTTAATACAACTTCTCCCCAGGCTGCACCTGGGCGTTCTCGGCTGGGTCGGGGTGGTCTGGGCACTTATTTAAAAAGGCACCTGTGTCTTTCCGAGATGTCCTCAGTTTACCTGTGCCTCCTCGCTTTGCTTTTTTGTTTGAGGACCGATTATTTGGCGACCTAACCCTTGAGGTGTACAAAACAGGAGGGATCCTTGAATTTTAGAGAATTGGTGAAAATTAGTAGTTAGGGGTTAAAAACGTCCATTTTCAGCTAAAGAAACTTATTTTCAGTGACTCAAAGCTGACTTGCTAGGGGTTCAAGTAATATGGCTTGTTTTTGCAATTTGGCTTACAAGTACCTTAATCTATGCCCGTGTCTAGCTTCTTGGGGTGTGTGTGTGAACGCGCGCGCGTGCTGTGCTCCATGCCTGGCTAAAGATGCATCACTTGCAGCTGAAACCTATGTTAATTCAAAATGGCAGCATGAAAAATCAGGCCAGGGGGTAAGCAGCACAGACCACAGCCAACAACGGCTGCTCCCAGATTTTAGCCTTGGAGAGAAGTCTCTCCTGGGTTTAAGGTAGGGAGTGATTCCTGTAGCTAGTTAAATTTTAGCATTTGGCAGAGTCCTAGGGGGTGAGTGGGAAGTTTGGAGAGCTGCTATTATTTTCTCTAACTTGTCAAAGCAATACAAAACCACATTTTGATCTGATTTTCCTCAGGCTCAGCTAAAGTTGGCTATATGGCTGCTGATGTCTGATGCACAACTTAGATACTGTTTTGTACCTACAAGCAGCTCTTAAAAGAGGTGGGTGTAGAGTGTAAGAATCAACCTGGAGCAGTGCACATAACAAATACTGTACAAAAGAAAGCTGCCTTGGAAGAGCTGATTTGGCACCATGAGTAAGCACATAGGTAACAGAGAATGGCAAGTTCTTGAAAGGTGACTCATTTTAGATTATTTCCCCTTCCCTTTTCACTGCCTTGCTGCCAGCCATCTTGTCTTTTGGGAAGGAGGAGATGGCAGGAGGAAACAAGTGCTCTGGGGATAATGGAGTATCTAGAAAGTGGGCCAGGAGTGGTAGAGCAGGAGGCATCCTGAGCAAGTTTTCTGTCAACCCCGTTTTTACAGTGAGGAGGCTGAACTGAGCAAGGCAAACAGACCACCAAGGTCATAAAGCTGACCTGAAACTGACAGTGAGAATCCAAGTCCAGGTCCTGCGATTCCCCAGTCTGAAGTTCCACATGCCTCCTTTCAAAGCCTGGGGGAAAAGGGCACCTTTGCCGTTGTTAGGATGGCAAACACTTGAAACCAAGTGGTTCCATGAATTAAAAAATCCTTAGGTATTTAAAGTAAGGGACTTTACCATAGTTTATTTCAAGACCCTTGAACTTCTTTATCTGTGTCCACCTCATGTTCACTAAAGAACTAAAACCTTAATTTCGACCAAAATCTCTGAGGTGGGAAGTATATTATTTCAAAATTAGATGCTTCTGTTTGTGTTTGGCCAACTTATTTGGAAAAAACCCTAAGCGGTCCATTTATCTAGTTTTTTTTTTTTTTTTTGGAGTGTATTAATTGTAAGTAGAAGTAAATAACAACCCATTTTAAAATAACTTGCACTGAAATCAGGTTTATCTATATTTTGCATTTGAAGTTCGCATGTTATGATCAGTGACTCAATCTACTGAAGCAGGAGTAGAGATTGTGTGTGGGTTTAGCGTTTATACAGTGGTGGTGTGGACATGGACGTTCTCATATTCTGTGTTCATAGCCTGTGATGTGGGAAGGAGAAGGGGAGGAGGCAGAGAACAGGAAGGATGTCTTGAGACAGTGGGGTAGATGGATACTAGGTGTGGGTAGATATGTTATGCTGAAGAAAAATGTGCATTAAAAAAAACTTGCATTGGACCGGGGATTTAGCTCAGTGGTGCCGCCGCCTGCCTCGCAAGCTCAAGGACCAGAGTTCGATCCCCGGTAC